GCTTCACGCAGCTCAGTGAAGCTGAACTCCTTAAGTGCTTAAGCATGTCAATCACTAAATGAAATTCTCATCAGAAAACTCAAACCTCTTGGCCAAATATCTTGAAACATGCTGATAGAATGCTAAAAAGTCATCTTCGCTTGCTGCTGCCTGCGGTGTGGGAAATTGCTTCAGCAAAGCACTTCTCTCAAAAAACAAAGAAAGGATTCATCTTACAGGATCTTGTTCAGTTCACAGCCAGTTAGCTCCTTTCCTTCAACATTGAGCACAACATCACAGAAGAGTTTCAGTGTAGTCTTTTGGAAAGATGTATGCAATAGCTCTCGTGGCACTGCTGCACCATCCTTGTCATTTCCATTATATGTCTGCAGTAATCTCGGTGACAGAAAGTAACACTAGGTGGCCGGGAATTGTTGAGGCTCCTTACAGCGGGCCACCTTGCCGAGATGTGTTTGCAGTGTAATTGTCATCCACACAGTTAAGAACAGTTTTCAGCTTATGAACCTGTTTAGCTGCTGCTGAGAAATAGTTAAAAATTTAGTGACAGTGCTCTCATCATTGGGAGCTATCACTGTTGGTTGTGTAGGCAGAAAGCATTTCCAAATGAAAGTCGTTTCCTTGTAGCCCTGCAGTAATGTGAATAAGACTCTTGACATTGACTTGACAAATGACTTTTCATCATGGTAGTCATAAAAGTTAAACAGCTTCTTTTTTCAGACCATGCTCATGTTTTGCAATATGAGGTAAAGCGTTGGAAGTGATGATCACTGCACATTTTGTGTAACCACATGACATTTTTCTTGTTATGCCAGAATCTGGAAACATGGTGAGGTAGAAATATTGCATTGTGTGGTAAAAACTGGTCACCACAGCAGTGGTAACTTTGTCATGTATGCTATATTTTGGTCACACAAAAAAGTGGGTTATGAATTTGTTTCTTTTTGAAATGCATGTTTTGCTCTTTTTGTATATTTCTATCCATGGAAATATACCCAGCATAACTGAGAAGGGTGGGAAAATGCTAACATCCCAATAGTCAACACATGATGAGTCAATTTCAGATGTTTCTGCACCAATCTATCAAAACAGTATCAGTGGATGCCCATGTCCATACATTGTGGCTCAGTATTCGACTCAGCTGAGTTCTTAGTCCTGAAACAATTGTGAACATGTAATTCTACCAAATCAAAAACATGAGGAATATTACCAAAGGTCTGTTTTTTCAGACCTGAGCCTTAGCATAAACTATAGAAAGAATATGTGTACTAGCAGTCAGGATATCTGAACAAGCTTCGCTGAAGTGGTCAAATTCCAGACCGAGGGGTAGTTTTGAAAACCACAACAGTACACTAAAGCGCTCTATTCTCAGCCATCACTTCAACATGTACTCTGAACCTTGATGAGGAGCACTAAAACATTCCATTAGTGCCTCTTCAGCACTGTCAAGAAGCAGGTGAAAAAATAAATGTGCCTTTAGAATAACAGTTTGAACTCGCCAGCACTGGTGAATCATTAGTGTGGTCCTTCACACAGCACACTCTGATGTTTCTAAAATAGCCTTTCCTTCCTTATAATCGGTATCCTAGGTCTTAATGGAGGCTTAGAGGAGAAACCAAGTGTGACACAACAGCAAAACTGTTCAATATTTAAACCGAATTCAGCAATAATTTAAAGATTACAAAAACAAGTCCTGCACTTCATAGCTTTTGATCCGGTCTTGTAATTCACAACCTGTAGTCTGATACTTACTCTGCCAGCAAAAGAGTGATTGATTTATTTATATTTCACTGTAACCCAAAGCTATTGTGAACAATAAAACACCAGTACAGTTTTCCTAGAGCACTATGTTAATTACATTTTAGCCAGACTGTGCACTCTGTCATCCCAAGCAATAGGGTAAAGACTCTTTTCCTATATCTTCTTTTATTCAATAGCTGTATTTAAGTCCCACTTAGAAATAAGTGCATCTTTCCTATAGTATACAGTACAGCATTTCCAATTTCTTCTAAAAACATTTCATATGTATGAATGCTTTTGAATCTTCTGGTAGGAAATCAATACATTCCCAGTTGTGAAGAAAAAAGAAAACTAAGAATGTTGTCTTCAGTTTGTTGAGGGTTTTGAGCAAAATTCAATATTCTGGACAGTGGGAGCTGCATTGCACTGGCTGTTTGTAGTTGTTCAAGGACCTCAGGAAATGAGGCCTCAAGCTATGAAGAGTAGACTGCCTGTTAATTCATTGGAAAAAAGACATACTATGATCAGAATTAATTCACACTGTTTTATAAAGCAAGGTGTTGGCAAAGGTTGTGGGTGTGCTAACGTCTTCATTCTTTAAGTAAACTAGTTTGAAAAATTGGTTTCCAAAGAGCACTGCAGCATGTAAAGAATTGCCAACAAACACCTGCTGCAATACAACTTTGCAGTTTGCTTTCTGCTGTATTATTTAGTGAGCTATTCTCCACTTCAGCCCAGTGATGTTGGGTCTCTTATGACACTGGTTATATAGACACGACAGTCTGTGCTCTTATCGTTACTTATTCATTGAATTAATGAAAAGAGTTTCTTTTGAGGTCAAATCTAGTGTCCAAAGGTAGTGGCAGCTGGAGTCCCGAACTTTGGGAACTTAACAAAGCCAATTCAAGGTCATTGCACTTCCAGGCTGTGTTAAAGCCATCATTAAGGAAAGAAAGAGCCTGGAGTTAAATCCAGCCAACTCTTTCCTTCCGCATCAAGAAATATCTACCAGTCCCCCCCAGTTCCACCACCCCCTCTAACCCACATCCCCACCATTGCACCACAACTTAAAACACATGACCTTGCCAGGGTGTCAAATTAACAGAAACAAACTGTGAAAATGAAGACGTTTCTTCTAATTTCACACTTTGCACTTGATTGGGGGCCCCTTATTATCCCCCATTTGGTTCCCTCCACTGGCTCTCATGAAAGGGTGTCAGGAAAGCTGTGGCATGACAAAAGGGGCCCTCTATCAAAAGACATTTGTTTGGGCTTTCCCCTCTCTCTGCCTTTCATTAGTCCTGCACTTCTTTTTCCTTTCTTTTAATTTGATCTGTCAAAGGCATTGGTTTCATTGGGATAAATGGACATCACATGTAGTGTCCCCCTCCCCAACCCTTACCCCACCAATCCCTGAAAAAGGGTTCTTTTTTGTGGCACGGTGACCCTAATAGCTCCTTACTCACCCTGTCAGGGTCCCTGTTCAAGTAAACCATCATCCAACTCCCCCATCTGAGACCGATACAGTCCTGAGATGGTCATCCATAACCCTGACACTTTCAGATGCACAGTCTAATAATACTTGTAGGATACAGCACATCTGAAGACTGATTGTGAAATACTATAAGTGGATCAAACTCTGCAGCCATTTCATTTGTGGTCCCTTTATCCAATATTATTTGAATCATCGAGAATGTACAATATGTTGCAAACGAGATATTCAACAATTTGGCATGCTGAGCTTTTACTATGACATTGTAGTAACTAATTTAGGAGGTTTCTTTTTTCCATCATACATAATAAAGCTTAAAAACATACCTTAAAACATGCACACATACAGTACCTATAGAACAACAACTGTGAATCACTGAATTGCCTGTTTTAATTAGTCTTCCATTGCCAGAGCACCCTATTGCTTTCCTTTACAGAAAATACTTGGGACATAGAATAAAAAAATAGACAATAAAAATGCTCTAATTAATCAAAGAAAATCTGTTATTTTTATGTTTTTAATTGGAGATTGGCTTTCCTGCTCTCCTGTCAAAACCCTAGTTAAGTGGGGATTAATTTGAAGAATTATGTCAGCTGTGAAGTGAGGAGTGAAGATTGTCAATTGGGTTGGAGACGGAGCTAGGAGGGGCGTGTCTGGGAGAATCACATGTACTCCACTTTGTTCGTGTGCTCAGAAAGCAGGGGGGCAGGTTTGGGAGGTGCCCCAGACCCCGAGGTCAAGGTTAAGACTAATCCAGTGGTTGGCTTTTACCACTAAGGACTTTTCACATAACTCCGAGCCAGTAGGGCTAGTATTTTTGCCATTAACGATTGGAGATTTTCAAAGCCCAAGTGAAGAGATCTCTTGAAGCCTAGCCTTCCTGTATCTGAATTTGCCTCCAGTGCATAGCATCAATTAATGATTCATCAAGAGGGAGATATTTGACCAATATTTGGTCATTTGATCCAATAATCATCATAATTTCTTGTTTTCCTTGCTATTTTGATAAACATACTTGTTTTAATAGGATAGTTAAAATGTGTATAAAATATTATTTGAAGGAAATATTTTTTTTTTGAAGTTCTTACAGCCTAAAAACAATCAAGCTAGCAAATCTTACAAATACTGGAGTTAATTATTATCCTTTTTTGTGTTCAGAAATGTCTTAATTAGTAAACATCAAAGGTACGATACTGGTAACATCAAAGGCACTATACTAAATTAGAAAATAAGGACCTCTACTGTATCTTACACAGCACATGAAGCATTCTTTTTTTTACTACTTTACTAAAAACAGCTTTGCTTTGATGAAAACAATGCAAAAACTTTGTATACTGGGAAAACAAGCCAACTGAATGCAGTTCACACTGTGAGCCATCTGAAAGCCTAGTGTGTGTAGTTTTAGCTGAGTGCTTCCAGTGCTGGGTTGCACAGATGCTGAGTGTTTTAGTCTTTAGGGAAATTAAGGCAAGCCACATTGATGCCAAAATAAAGCTGCCAAATTAATTTTCCTTATCATTTCTTACCTAACATTCCTTGTAATAAGGTTTTGGGAAAATAGCTTATTAATGGAACAGCTCACGTCTTAGCCTTCTTTGGATTTCAAAATCCAGAATACGAGCTTAAGAACTGCAAAAAACATTCCAGGAAAAGAGGTTCCAAGAGCACGAAACTGGTTCCAGAAAACATGAGAGGTATGAAAACAGCTAAACACTTCTGTTTGAAAGGCCCGATCTCTTCACTCACTTGTTCGTCTTTATTCGCTCCACAGTGGGAGGAGGTCAGTGGCTATGATGAGAACATGAACACCATCCGCACCTACCAGGTGTGCAACGTCTTCGAGACTAACCAGAACAACTGGGTGCGCACCAAGTACATTAGGCGGCGGGGCGCCCAGCGCATCCACGTCGAGATGAAGTTCTCGGTGCGTGACTGCAGCAGCATCCCCAATGTGCCGGGCTCCTGCAAAGAGACTTTCAACCTCTACTACTATGAGTCCGACACGGACTCGGTCAGCAAGTCGTCACCTGCCTGGATGGAGAACCCGTGGATCAAGGTGGACACTATTGCGGCAGATGAGAGCTTCTCCCAGGTGGATCTGGGGGGCCGAGTGATGAAGATCAATACGGAGGTGAGGAGTTTTGGGCCCGTCTCGCGCAATGGCTTCTACCTGGCCTTCCAGGACTATGGGGGCTGTATGTCTCTGATCGCCGTCAAGGTCTTCTACCGCAAATGTCCCCGGGTCATCCAGAACGGGGCCATCTTCCAAGAGACTCTTTCTGGTGCCGAGAGCACCTCCCTGGTGACAGCGCGGGGGACCTGTGTGCCCAACGCAGAGGAAGTGGATGTTCCCATCAAGCTCTACTGCAATGGTGATGGCGAGTGGATGGTGCCCATCGGGAAGTGCATGTGCAAGGCTGGGCATGAGGCTGTGGAGAACGGCACAGTGTGCAAAGGTAAGGACTACCTCTTGTGAAAGACGTGAAAGCTGAGTCGTATTGACTGTATTTATAGAGGTCCGCAAATAATTTATTGCCAGGTTTGAGCAATTGATCTAATTTTGCTTATTACCAAATCAGAAGTAGAATAATTTTAAGATCGTTCTTAAAGGTTATTTTAGTCCTTTGCTAACAACCCCTATTTTCTTCTTGATGCAAAGTGAATCTGTGCTTTCTTTGAAAGTGACAACATTTATCGCCTAGCCTCAGCCAAATATGTTTTTTATGGCATCTATTAATTTTGTAACTCAATTTCAAACATTAAGGAGCAAGTCTGAAAGTGAAGATGTTTGCTAATAAGCTTCAGATTAGATTTCATTGTGATGGAGAACATGAGGACTCTCTTATGGGTTAAAGACCCTCGAGCTGAACTCATCCTTCATCCTTTGTTTGCAGCTTTTACTATGTCAGACTCATGTTAGGCTCTTGATACACTTTATATGCAAACTATGAGATTTAATATTAAACAGACAATTTGTGTGAAAGTGTGTAGAGACTGTCACGCACTGGACCAGGAACAGAGACATATGGCAGGTGGCGATATGACCTTTTGCGGTGATCTTCATAGTCAGGCCAGCACTTTATATGATGCTTGAAATTCCTCCATTTACAGCACATGGAAAGCCTTTTTCTTCTGCTATATATATGAAAAAAATTATTCTATAATTTCCTTTTGTTGAAGATTACAGGTATTTTGAGTAGACATTACCTCAATGTTGTCTTTAAATAACTAAGTATTCATAATGGTAAGATCTTTGAAAGCATTCTATGAGATTAAATTTACTTAATAATTTACAGTGTTTGACCTCTTAGTTTTTGGCAGTTGATCACACGATACCATAATAGCTGCAAGCTTTTATTTTTTGCCATTGTACAATAATTTATTACATATCATATTCTACAGTGTAGAGATGTAATTGTACACTCCTCTTCGATTCCAACTTGAAAAGAAACTTTTTTCCTATGTTGAGAAGCATAATGTCAGCTCATGATATAACAAAGACCCTTATTATTCTGTAAAAACATTTAGAATAAAGCATACCAGGTCCATCTTTTTTTAAGGTGTGTATCAGATAGACGCCCTTGAGAAAAATCAGAGACTCTTCTGTTTTTGATAGTCGGAAAAATCATACTTTTTTTTTAATATATGTGCTAAAAATGTACTATATTCTTGGTAATACAGAAACAAGCTGGGTGTCACCTTAGCCTGGTATGAGACTTAGTTTTCTAGTGTGGAAGCTCTCCAGGCTAATGACTTTCAATAGGCCCTTCTGGTTGGAATCAAAGTATTCTCTTACACACACCGCCTAAAGCAAAGAGCTCTGTTCTCAGATAGGAGCTGGACGAGGGCCTTTTTTCATAGAGCTCAGACAAATAGGCTTCCCTTGGTACATTGTGCTAAAACAAGCTGGTTGATGTCATTGTGCCTGAGGGGAAATTAAAAGAAATGCATATCCAAATACTGATACCCAGTGTACAGGTTACAATAGGCAACAAATGTGTCAGAATAAATTCGGGCTCTCCCCTTCAGCAATCTTTTGTAATTCCAGTAAGGTCCGAGCCCCACATGTTGGATTTGAGAGTGTTCCTTTCTTCTGAAAAGCTCCAGGAGCTGCTTTGACATGCCTGGCTCACGCCTCGACAGCTTTGAGGGGCAGGTACAGTATGTGGAAGGAACACACGGGCAGGCTGCGTGCCCTGCTCAGCTGGCAACCCCACAGAAAACAACGGCAGTTATTGTTCTGCCAGCCGCAACCAGGCCGCCCCTCCCCGTCTCCAGACGGCCTCAGAGACAGTGCTCTTGCTAATAAGACTGACGAATGAAACACCTACCTTTGTCCTAAAATGGTTCTGCTTTTCAGTCAGGCTGGTACATAACATCCCGTTTCATAATCACTGGCATGATTATACGGTGATTTTCTCCCACTCCTCTGGAGGATGTGAAGTAGAAAAGCCTTTGGTGATGACAGGAGTGGGTGGCTCACTTAGAGCGATACAGTTACTGACACCTAACAGGAAGGGGCAGCGTCTCTCATTAACTGACACAGCTCACTTTTTCAATTATGTGCTTTGAGAGGACATATAATTTGAATTATTTGATTATTTTTAAGATATTTTACAGGTTGGCTAGTTTGTAATATACAATCAGCCTCTTTGGAATCGTTGTTTGTTTACAACATTAAAGGGGAACTACAATCCCAATTTCTCAGACCAGTTATTAAATCTTGGTATCAAAATAATTTAATTCATGGTGCTGCAAAGTTTTACGAATTTCAATTAAGCACTAAGTCCTGTACTTTGTGAAAGGACTGGAGAGTCTCCATGTTGTCAAAAACCCCTGGTCTCACCATGAGCAAGAGTGACAGGTGAAGATGTCCTTCCCACTCAGTAGTCACTGAAATGACAGGACAAGTACAGGATGTGCAGCAAAGATTTCACTGAAGAAATGTTCCAATGTAATCTGCATGCAGAGTTAACAAGTAAGTTTGACTTATCAGCCAAACCATCTCAAAGTCAAGAGCAATCATTCTATTGGATTAAAAAAGATGTATTCAGATCTCTTGTTTATAGGGCTGCTTCACCTTACTGGAAGTTTGGTCGCCTCGTTCTGAATCACAGAATATGGTACTGCTCATGCCTGGAAATGAAGTCTATTTTGTGATGTAAATTGCAGGTTTTACATGTTATTTCTAACCCCTTAATAGAAAAATAGCATTGCAGTTCCCTTTAAAAACTGCTATTCCTGTGCTGCAATCATACTCCCCAGACCTGCCTGCCCATCATTTGACTTTTGACTCCCTGCAAAGTGAGAGAGACCACTCAGCTGGATAAACTTGATGTACAGTATCTCAGACATCTGCCTTTTGGAAAGCTACGGTCTGGGCTGTAGGGTGCGATGAGTGACCATTTCTCCTACTTGAGCCTGTCAGGAGCCCCATTTGTGATTTAGTCTTTGTGTATTTCCATATCAATGCACACAACTGTGCTTTAGAAATGATATACTGTAGTTTCAGGTTCTTTGTGGTTTTGTTTGTTTTCTAACAGGAGTTTGTATTTAATGCTTTTAACAGAGAAAAAGTTACAGAAGCACAAATTAAATAAATACTATAAAGAAACCTTGTGTGACAATATGAAAAAAGCTGCAGGTTGTATAGACTAGGAGAGACTTTGACTTTGTGTTGGGAAAACATCTTTGTTAAATCTCTTATTTCTTTTATTCAATACAGTTTCCACACAGTGGTAAATTAAAATAAAAACAAAAAGTGGCATGACTTGCACTTCATTGGGTGACGGCACGATTTCATCACAAATATCATCATGTCAGAAATGTGCTTGTTTGCCACAGTAGTTGTCTTATTGGAACACCATTTATGTTTTTTTAGTCGTTTAGCATCTTGCAATGTTAACGTGAATGCCATTGTCATGTTTGCAAAGTGCTCTAGCTTTGAAAGAATACATATAAACACTCTGTTATAGTGCCGCAGTTAAAGTTTCATGAGTAAGGTGCATTATCTGAAAGAGGTTTAAAACAAATGCAGTTGAATGAAGTGTAAGGGTCTCGACTCTTGGGGATAGAGTGGTCTTTTATTAGGACATATAGCAGAGGACATGGCAAATAGATGAAAAGCAAGTGTAGAATAAGGAAAACCAGATACTCACTGTTTCAGCTTTATCTTATAGGCATCCTTCGAGCCTGTTTCATATTTAACCCTGTCATCCAGCTGTTATTGGTTATGTGAAGAAATAAGCACTAATTCCATGGTGTTTTTCAAACCTCACCTTGACATAAGCATGCATGACATTGTGTTACTGGTTGTGAGTACTAGTTCACTACTGCTACATTTGCCTTGTTTTGTTACTTCTGTTACATTTGCATTTGAATCCACTAACAGTGCACTCTCAATCAGCTCTCACCATAGCAGTATCAGTATATCAATATGAGCCACTACACAGTGAGAAAACGGCAAATTTAACAATATTATAGCCAAAGGAAAGCAATGCAAAAAAATATGAAAATGTCATTTTTCAAAATGCTTTCCCAGACAAACATATAATTATGCCTGTGTAAATTAAAACATTTGACAGGGTTTCTTGATTCAACTTTCTTGAACCCAGAGTTTCTTGAAGTATTAAAATGGGGCTTATCATAATATCTTCAATTGGCAGTTACATTAAGACTTAAAAATTATGTTTTGTTCGAGCTTGCCTCATTTTGAGCTTATTTGTGTTACGAATTCTAGGCTGTTTTCCCAGTAAATTAAAAAAATATTTTCTTTAATGTTCTGTCTCAAATAGAAGTCTTCTTTTTAACGCTAATTTTAAATTGTGGAAATTTAATATTGAAAACATCAAAAATGTGCTTTAGAAATTTTAGGCTAAGCCACTTACTGTAGGAAATGGAAGCTCATCGGCTTGGTTAATGATAAGAATTTCCTCGCAGCACATTATACATGTGCTTTTTATTTTTCAAACATTTCAGTTCCTATTTAAGCATCTCATTGTTTTGAATACAGGGCCTAGTATGATCAGCCATCAAACAGAATGTTTTACATTTCCGCCTGAGGAACCGTATAGCTTTGATTTTGAAATTATTGATGGACAGCATGGTGGTGTATTGGTTGATACTGTTATTGCTCCAGAGTATTAGCTTCTTATTCTGCATTATTCGTATTCTTATCAGACTTTTGTCTACAATAAACTGGCATCCAGGGCAAGCTATAGCTTTTTGCATCCCTCATCAGGATGAGAAAGTTACTGATATAGGTCTATATCTATTTCTATAACTTATTTTGCTTTTTTATCTTTCTAATTTTGGATGGCTAGTTATCAGTTAACTCTTACCAGCAAGGGAGGGATGGTAACCATTCCCCCAGAGAACCTGTGCTTTGTAGGAAACATCAGCTGTTTTTCATACTCTTACTCCCACTTTTTTTGTAGTGTTCTTGAGTATCCCCAAC